ACGTTATAACAATGTTAAGAATTGAATGGATATTGAGAAATAAAGATACCCAACCCCAGGAAGGGTTCCTTTCTTGAACCCATCCGAAGATGTAAAGCTAAATTGATAAGTTTGTCTTTCATTTCAAAATGCCTATCATCTTTGATTTTTTTCCAAAATGGTGGCTCTGATTTCTTTCTGCACTCTCTCCCATCTTCATTTTACTCTGAAGATTTGTTGCCATTCTCATGTTCTGCCTCTATTCTTCTTGCTCTGCTTTGTGATTACTTATGGTTTTTAATTTATATTTGGTTTAATCTCCTTTGAGACCTTGCTATAGTCTTCATTACCAACCCCTGCATGTTCCACCCCACCTGGGTAATCTCTAGACACATTAATGTTTCTCTCATGTAAAGGTAAACTTCTATGGGGCTTTAGAGATGGCTCAGTGGTTAAAAGAACTTATAGTTCTTTCAGACGATCTGGCTTCAGTTCCCAGCACATGTGTGATGGCTCATAACCACATATAACTACAATTTCAGACAATCTAACACTCTCTCTTTGCTTCAGCACACATGTGTTGCATATACATACCTGTAGAAAAACACTCATATACAGTAAAAAAAAAAACAACTCAATATATAATTGTTTGTTTTTCTTTCTCCATGCAAGACAAAATTCACATTGATTATCTGTCTTTCTGTATTTAACCATTTCCTGCCCATTCTTTAAATTGTAGTAATTTGTTGCCCACAACTTTCCTAAGGTTGTAAATTGATGCAGGAGAATTGTCTGTATTCTGCCAATCATATTTTAATAAAACACTGATTGGCAAGGCAGGCAGTATAGGCGGGAAAGCCAGACAGGAAGTAGGGGTGGAGCAAAGAGACTGGGAATATTCTGGGAGGCAGGAAGCTCCCTCTGCCATTCCTTCCCAGATCACCGAAGAGGCAACATGTGAGTTGTCACACTGAGAAAGGTACTGACCCGTGTGGCTAACAAAGATAATGATAATGGATTAATATAAGTTACAAGGACTAATAAGAAGCCTGACCTAATGGGCCAATCAGTTTATAATCTTATGGAGTCCTGTGTGTGATTTTTCTTTGGGAATTGCCAGCTGTGGGGTACCGGGCAGGACAGAAACCACAACAAGCCGGCCCCTCGTGTTACATATGGCGCCCACGTGGATAACTGAATCCACAGAAAGTCTGAGAAAGCTTGGGAAAGAATAGAGTAAAGCATATTTTCTTGGTAGCAGCAATTTCTCAGGTCTGCACTGCTTGCTAGAGGCAAGCAAGCACTCTCATCTAATAAAGGCTTCCTGACTCAGCTTTAGCTGCAAAACATTGCAGCTCCTTTAAGAGGTTCTGCCGCAAAACACTTAAACGGTGTTGATGAAAAGCTGAATGCATGCTTTTCGGCTTTCAGCTGTAGCAGGAAAAAAGCTGCGCTGATGTTTTAAAATGCCGGCTTTCTGGGCCATCCTGTCAGGGCAAACTCTGACTCTTTCAGGCAGGCAGTCTGACTGAGTGTGATCTGTGAGCAGAATGCTGCAGCTTGCTTGCTGGTAGGGACCTTGAAACGCCACAGAGTTATGGCAATAATAATGGCTCCACTGGTACCTCTGCCATGAGGCTGGAAAGCTAAGGAATAGGCTGTATCCAGCGGTCAAAGCCACAGCTCTCCATATTGCTTAGTAAATTAAAGGCTCATGTGGTCAGAAAAAGAGAGATATACAGTAAAGGGAGATTCAAAGAGGAAGAAAACCTCTAAATGGTTTATAGTGTGTTAAAAATATATTCAGGATAAAAGTTAAAGTTCTTAAAGTAAAAAGAAAGAGAGTAGTTGGGTGTGGTGGTAGTCACCTTTAATCCCAACACTTGGGAGGAAGAGGTACATTGACCTCTGTGACTTCAAGGGGCAGAGGTAGATTGACCTCTGTGACTTCAAGGTGTGGTAGCACACACCTTTAAATCCAATGCCTGGGAGGCAGAAACAGAAGGATCTCTGTGAGTTTAAGGTGTGGTAGCATACACCTTTTAGCCCAGCACTGGGGAGGCAGAGACCAAGGGATCTCTGTGAGTTCAAGGACAACCTGGTCTACAGAGTTATTCCAGGACAAAGATATATACAGAGAACCTGTCTCAAAAAGCCAAAAGTTAAAAGAAAAAAATAAAAGAAATGGATGTTAAAATAAAGCCGTATAAAGATGGAAAATACACAGAGACTTGATAGTGTGTGTTATTATGCTCTCTTTGAATTGTTTGAATGCTGAGGAAGGAGCAACAGCTGCTAAAAGATATTTGCTTATATATGCTGCTGAATTAATCCAAGATAGGTATTTTGAAAATATCTGGGCTTCAAAACTGAAGTCAAAAGGTATGTTACTTTGGAGAAGAGATTTTGCTTTTGTTTCCACAGAAAATGAGAGGCTGTGGATTCATTCTGAGTTAAGAAAAATCAGGTTCGAAAAAGGAAGACCACCTGAGAAATCTCCGATAGGAACAGATGGCCCAGATGACAGAGTTCTACATCCAGAACAGATTCAAGACTGCTGCCTGAGATGATCAAGACTCACAGGATACTCCAGTCAGTACTTGATTATAACTCTAAATTTTCTTTGGGTCCCCATAAGATTATCAGTGCCCCCAACCAGCAGGAAGTAGCCTGAAATACTACGCCCACATTCCCAACAAATGGACTATGGGTATTTTCCTTTGTTTAAAAAAAAGAGGAAAATGATGTGGGAGAATTGTCTGTATTCTGTCAATCATATTTTAATAAAACACTAATTGGCCAGGCAGGCAGTATAGGCGGGAAAGCCAGACAGGAAGTAGGGGTGGAGCAAAGAGACTGGGGGTATTCTGGAAGGCAGGAAGCTCCCTCCGCCATTCCTGCCCAGATCACTGAAGAGGCAACATGTGAGCTGTGACACTGAGAAAGGTACTGAGTACCTTTCTAACAAAGATGATGATAATGGATTAATATAAGTTACAAGGACTAATAAGAAGCCTGACCTAATGGACCAATCAGTTTATAACTTATAGAGATCTCTGTGTGATTGATTTTCTCTGGGACTTGCCGACTGTGAGGTACCAGGCAGGAAAACAGATACCCCAAAAAGCCGGCCCTCATGTTACAGTAAATTATACCTTAACTTGAAGGTTTAATAATGAATTTAGAGCCCTTAAATTCCCTGATTTCCTGGGGAAACACTAGTAGCTAATCTGTTCTTCAGAGAATCTTTTATTTCTCTGGTTCTCATTAAATGATTCTTTCCTCTAGTGATCACATCCTTTTTATTCTTTCCAGGACTCTGCTTTTATCACATTTTACCCCTTAATTGTTGTTATTTCCTAGAAATCTCATTTTGTCCCTCTTCACATGATGCTAGCCACCGTATATATTCTCACAGCTTTCTTGTGCCCCTCAAATCTCTCCCTTGACATTTCCTGCGAGTTCCAGTGACTTTTCCTTGTTATCCCATTTGCATGCCAAATGCAACATGGTTCAAACGATATTATTTTTCACTATAATCAACCACACTGCTTTTCTCCTAAACTACTTAATAGTGAGAACCACTATCTCCTCAGTAAGAAACATACAACCAGATATTTGATCCTTCTTATCCCGTATTACATTTAGTTAGACATTCAACCTTGTCATTTAACCTACACACTTTTCTTCAATACATTCTGTCATGAGTTTCCTTTAGCAAATACAATAGCTTCTTAAAGTTTCTCTAGTACTATAACCAATGTTATCGCTCATTCAAGACACTCTCTTGTCATCATTCAAGTCACTCTCTTGTTACCAGAGCATAAATTCCCTGAAAACAGGAAATCTAAGACAGTGATTAGTACAGAGTGAATCTTCAAAATATGTAAATTAAATCAACCATATATTTGAAAGTTTAAACATAGTACATAAATTGGATCAACTGAAATTGTAAAAACATTTTTGGTGTGTGTTTGTGTGTGTGTGTGTGTGTGTGTATGAATATGTTCATTGCTGATCATTTAAAAACTAGTAGTTTAGTCTGTCAGTCTTACAAGACTTGAAAGATACCCAAGTGTCTAAATCAAGAACTACTTTCTTTTTCTAAACCAAAAATCTGAAATTTTGCTTTCCTAGGCACCAGTGCAAACTACCAACTCTCTAGACCAAAGTAGAATCTGGACCTACTCTGTATTCATTGAGAACTTTTCTTTTCCAGAAGCCACTGTGTTCTAACTGATGCCCTTCTTAAATTACCTTTTGAATTTTGATTCCTTTATCTCTTTTATTGGTTTAGTTTCATTAAAAATTACACAGTAATACATTTTTAATAAAGTCCAACCATCTACCAATAATACAATAAAACTCTCTCCTAATTGCTTCAGTTACCCCTAATCTCCACCACCCAAAAAATAAAAAGGTCAGAGAGAGTCATCACAAAATCAATACGTGTAGTCATAGCTGTTTGATCATTCACAGAGATCTGTAGGAGGCTGAATGCCACTGGAAAAATTAACCTTGCTTCCCTCCATCCTCTTGTTGAACAATCTCCTAGCCCATGACTACTACATATAAAGAGATAAATATTTGCCATAAAGACAAGGAATTTTTGAAAAGATTATTAAAGCTATCTGCAGCTATTACTAAAGTAAAATGGAGGAAAGTATCAGTCTTGCAGTAGATGATAGTGATTCTGAAGATCAGTCGTCCTGCCCATTGACGTTCTAATCACGTCTTCATGGTTTGCCTGGCTAAACACACTGGAAAGCATGGAAGGGATATTTTGCTGTAACGAGAGTTGGGATGTGAGGGGCTCTTTGATGACAGTCTTACAAGCCAGAGAAAGCAAGTTTTATTTTGGGAGACATCCTTTGAAACTTCCAATTGCCTCCAATGCAGAAGCACATTTATCTTGTAGAACAGCTTTGGAGTTTGAAAATAAAGTTAGTGTTAATAAGCATGTTCAAAAATGTAGCAAAAGATATTGTCTAAAAAGATAAATTACATACATATTCAGCTACCTTGTAGGGCTCCCCAAAAAGATCAAAGCCTGAAGAAAAGAGATCGTCTTCTTGCTGAACTTCTTGACTCCTCCGTTCCCATTCCCTCTTTTTAAGTGCACTACGGTCCTGTTCATAGTGACTGACATGAAAAGGAAAAGACAAACAGAGGAAAATTAATTAGCCACGAAGTAATTTATATTACCCTTGGTATTCCTAGGAAGAAAAAAAATGTAAGTCAATCCTACCCATGCTGTATAAAGAACAGAGAATCCTTCTGTTTATCTTTACTAACATTAAAATTAAGAAAGAGTCCAGAAATTTGCTCATTAGAAGCTGTACCTGTGGTCATGCAAGAATGTAGAATTCTTGTCCCTTGTTCTGTTTTGCTGAATTAAGGTTGCGTCATGTTGTCAACCACCTGGGTCCATGAATGCACATAAGCCACAAAATTCAAAGGAAACAAATGATTAAAGTGTGGCTCTTTATGTAAACCAAAGTCTTTCTGAAGCCTTTACCCTATTTTAATTATCATGAGTGAGTTTAAAATCATTAAGCCATCATATGCAGAAGTGGACACATGCAAATATTAAATTATTTAAATCCTTGCATTCCTTCTACTCTGGTTGTTCTTGTTTTGATTTTTTGACTATTTTGTTGTTGTTGTTGTTTCACAATTGAGCAAGAGTCCTTTGGGAAAATTGTTTAGAAAAAAGGGGTCCTAAGTGAAACAATAAACAATTGTATAGCATTGAAAGAGATATGTGGCAAAATCATTGAATGAACTTGATATAAAGCTGTTTTATAAAGACTACATATGAGAGGTTCATCGAATTTCAGAATTTTCCTCTGAAATATTGAAAGCTTCCAGATAACATTTAAGATCTAGTCTAGGACCTTGGAGGTTACAGAATACAATGTTTCTTTATTCAGAGATTTATTTCTCAGACATGCAATATTTCAAATTAAACTCTAAATCTATGTGATTTATGCTAAAATTGAGAATCCCGAAGACAAATATCTGAAACTCAAAATTCCCCCAAATATGAAAGTTTAAAGTGCTTATATGATGCTACAAGTAGAAAAATTCCATATTTAATAGCAATGTTGCAGGTCAAAATTAAAATGCAAATATACTAAACATACTCTCTTAAATTTCCTTCACATTAAAAGCTAAGATTTATATGTAATAAAAAATAAATTCTATGCTTACATTTGGGTCTTTTCCATAAGATATATATGTAGGAACCTGAGAGGAACAATGATAACTAGCATAGCAAAATATGTCCACTGGTACAATAGTGGCATAGATATTACAGAAGAAAAGAAGCACTTTCTGGTTGAATTTAAATCCAAGTCTGTAGGAGAAAAAAATCTATAACTGTATAGGGCATAAGCCCTAGAAGAAAACCTAATTCTATTATTTTGCCCCAGGTTTTTAATCTTCATATTTCTATAGTAGTATAGTTCTCAATCCTCATCAGAGAAATTACTTTTGCAGTATATAGTGAATAGTCCACAACTGATAAAAATGAAGGCAAGATGATATTGTGGAGTTTGCAGGCCTAAGTGGGACATCTGTATCACAGACTTCCCACACCCAAGACTCAGGGATCATTTCAGAAGAATGGGTAGAAAGATTCTAAGAGCCAGAGATAGTAGACACATGAAGATTATTTCCTGAATATTACAGAGTTATTGTACATACTAACAAATAGCAGCTGTAACTGAATGCATGTATATATGACCCGTAAGTGATCAATTCAACTGAATTCCCAGAATGGATAGGAAAGACGCTCATAACCTCCCCTCAAAAAATCACACACACACACACACACACACACACACACACACACACACACACACTCTCTCTCTCTCTCTCACACACACACACACACACACACATATGAAAAAGTACTTACAAATAATGGCTCTTTGGGGGAGGAAAAATCAATTTTCTTAGAGATGTGTCCACTGAGAGGCTACCCATGCTAGAATAGATTATCCTACAGCCATGCACGCTTGATGAATTTAATTTAAAAAATGAGCACATGAAATTGGGAAGAAAATTTTGATGAGGGATAAGGAAGAAGCTGTAGGGTAGGGAATATGGGATAGATTTGACCAAAACATTGTATTCATATATGAAATTTTAAATAAAAAATAACCAGGTATAGTAACACAGGCCTTAATCACATTACTCAAAAGGCAGAGAGGCATGTGGAGTTTGTGGTGGTTTGAATAAGAGTGGTCCCTATTTGAATGCTTAATCATCAGGGAGTGGCACTACTTGAGAAAGATTAGGAGGTGTGTCCTTTTTGCAGGAACTGTGTCATTGAGGGTGAGTTTTGAGGTTTCAAATGTTCAAGTCAGGCTCAGTGTCTTCCTCTTCCTACTGGCTGTGGAACCAGATGTACAACTCTCAACTATTTATCCAGTATCTTGTCTGCCTATGTGCTTCCATGATCTCCACCATGGTGATAATAGACTAAACCAATAAAATTGTAAGCAAGTCCCAATTAAATGCTTTCTCTTGCACAAATTCCTTTGGGGAGGGAGAGTCGACCCTGAGGTAGCAAGAGTGGGAGAGCTGTCCTTGCTCCCCACAACCTGCTAGACTTGCGAGAACAGGTCCTGCACTTTCCCAGGGTAGTACAATAGAGCCATCTCTGTTATCTCAGGTGTGGGTGAGCCAGCTTAAAAGTTGCAAGCATGGGACAGATATCCCTATTTCTCATCTTACTTCTGGCAGCATGGGCAGAGGAATGATGCCCTCCCCCCTACCCATCAATGTCTGTGGCAGGTGGGAGAGCTCTCTCTTTGGTCATAAGAGTGGGAGAACTATCCCTGACCCCCACCAGCTGTAAGACTTGTAAGCAGACCCTGTGACTCACCAGGGAAGCAAAATTAAGTCAACCCTGTGAGCACAGGTGTGAGTGAGTAAGCCCCAAGTGTGTAAACATTAGAGAGCTATCCCCATTACCCATCCATCTGGTGGGTGGCATGGGCAGGGAAGAGCTGCCCTTCTCCCACAACACTTCACCTAGGAACCCCTGGGGCAGGTAGAAGAGCTTACCCTGTGGTCATAAGAGTAGGAGAGCTCGTCCTGTCCCACACCAGCTGCAGCACCCAGACCTAAGGGTATGATTTTCCCTATCAGTCACCCCATCTGTGATCTTCTGGAGCCCATGAAGGGACCTGACCTGCAGACCCAAAGCAGCGCAATAATCACAACATAGGGCAACAACAGGATATCCAGGAGGATCCCTAAGAAGGGCCAGCATCTATAAGGTAGTAGAAACCAGAGGCCTCAAACCAATGACTTTTGCAATAAACACTTGCAAGTAAGATAAGTGGAAAAGGGGGTTTATTGCATGACTACTGTGTCACACTTCAGCTTCCATGACCAATTTTTTAAACTTTTTTCCCCTTTTTAAAATTTTCTTTTTTTACCTTTTTTTTTCTTAAATTTTGATTTATTTGGGGTGTGTACATGGGAGGAGGGCACATGCAAAGTGATGGGGAAATGAATGGGATCAAGATACGTGACATAAAAGACACATAGAATAAATAACTAAATAAAAGAGTTTCTTTGATCTTGGTGTCTCTTCACAGCAACAGAAAACTGTTTAAGAGGATCTCTGTGAATTTGAGACAAGTTTGACCTGCATACTGAGTTCTAGGCCAGCCATAAACAGATATATAGTGAGATTCTATTTCAAAATCAATAAAATATTTTAGAATTAGGGGATGAATCTGAAATCAGAAAGTGAAATTTAATTATATTATTATATAAATATGCATAACATAACGAACAGGTGATTTACATATATTACATATTATATCCTATGTAATGTATGTTTCCTTCTGTATACTAATAATACCATATTAAAACTTAATTAGATAATTGTCATAAAAATGCCATAATTAAAAAGGGGGTAAATAAAGATGTATGGTAATATAATAGTGAAGTTGGTGATTTTGAATATATCATAAACTCCAGTGCCTAGTAAGCTATTTCACTTATAAGTACCATAATTGTCATCTACAAAATGAGGGTCTAGAGCAGTGCTTCTCAACCTGTTTGTTCCTACCTCCTTTGTGGGTGTCAAATGATTCTTTCACAGGAGTTATTGAAGACCATCCTGCATATCAGATATTATGACTCATAACAGTAACAAAATTACAGTTATCAGGTAGCAATGAAAACAATTTTATGGTTGGAGTCACCACAACATGAAGAATTTCATTAAAGGGTCTCAGCATCAGGAAGTTTGATAACCACTGGTCTAGGGAATCAACTACACAGTTTAATAAACAAGGAATATGTGATGCTACTACACTTAATCAACCACGCTTCTCCGTAGGAATCTTGGGACTATCAAACTCAACACTTGGATTGATGAAACTATCATTGGCATAAACAACCTTCATTTTTCCACTTTAAAATGGTGACAACATTTCTATGGTATTCAAGTGTACCTCCATCTTTCATAATATATATTTAGCATTTAGCTAAAGTACTGAGGATTTCTTGCATATATTATCACTGTGTGAAGAAAGAAAGAAAGAAAAAAAACCTTCAGGATTCCTACAAAATCCCAGGCTCCACATAGGGTTGAGTGGTCAAGACTGCTGTCATGCCCAGAATCTGAAATTTAACCTATCTTAGTCTTAGGTGTTCTCTATAGTTCCAGTCCTCCCTTCAGGCTGAGGTACAAACACTACATGTTAGCATATATCCAGTGTCCATGTTGGAGGCTGATTTGTAATTAAGCAGGCATCGGAGCAGCTTCAGTCCTTTTACTATGGCATGGTACTGTAACCTTAATGCTGCAAATAGACCATATGCAATTTAAGCTATCAGTTTAACAAAAATGTAAGAAAAATGGTGCCCGAGGTGGGGATCAGTAACAATTTCAAGCACTATTTGGCATTGTAGAAGTAGGAGGATTTTTGCAATAGAGAATATTAATTTCTTTGCTTTACATAGCAGATGATTTCAACACAAAAGCAAGAACTGAAGTCTCCTGTTTTTGAGTAATTGTGAGCAAGATGTCAGTTTCCTAGCTATCTGTTCACTTTTTGAACCTGACAGCTCAAAATGACAAGTCCATAGATCACATTTAATTCTCCCATGAA